CCCCTTTCCGTCCCAATCCGGTCATTTGAAAGTGTATCGATGGACTACATTATTGGGTTACCAAAAGTTGAGGATTTTGGCACTACCATTGTCGTGGTGGACCGTCTATCAAAATATGTAACTTTCATTGCAGCGCCTAAGTATATATCCGCGGAAGAGACATCTCAACTCTTCTTCAAACATATTGTCAAATACTGGGGACTACCTAAGGACATTGTTAGTGATCGAGATCCTCGTTTCACCGGCATATTTTGGACTGAGTTGTTCAAACTTATTGGTTCAACTTTGAGCATGACTTCTAGTTTTCACCCACAATCTAACGGACAGACGGAGCGCTTCAATTCTTTGCTAGAAGAATATATTCGACACTTTATCTCTACTTCGTAGAAAAACTGGGTAAAACTTTTGGATGCGGCTCATATTTGCTTCAATGCCCAAAAGAGCTCTTCCACCAATAAGAGTCCTTTTGAGATTATTACTGGCCAGCAACCACTATTCCTTCATACAGTGGATATCGAACGAAGTACCAATTCCCCTCAAGAAAAGAACTTTTCTCAAGAGTAGAAACGAAATATTGAAATTGCTTTTAGTTATCTTGAGAAAGCTCAAAAAGGGTATAAAAAGACTGCAGATCTAAAGCGCCGTTTCATTGAATTCAATGTTGGAGATCTGGTGATGGTCAAGCTTCCCTACAGAAATGTTTACAAACCAACAAGAAAGAAGGACTCAAGATGGACGTCAAAATACATTGGACCATTACCCATCGTGAAGAGGATTGGAAGAGTTGCATACAGAGTTGAACTCCCTTCATGGTGTAAAATCCACAAGGTCCTTCATGTTAGTGTATTGAAGTCATTCTTTGCGGATAAGGAGGACGCATCTAGAAACGAGCCAAAGCGACCTGTGTTTGAACTGAAGAAAGTTGGAAAGAAAGTTGCTGAAGCTATTCTTGACCACCAAATCACTCGAGCTTCTAGAAAAGATCATCAGGAGTACTTGGTCAAATGGATTGGATGCAACAGCGAGGAGAATACTTGGGAAAGAGAAAAAGATCTCGGACCCTTCAAACCATTAATTGAAGCATATCATGCATTGATGGCACCGAGGACGTCGCCAAAACAAATGGGGGAGAATGTCAAGGACCGCAACTTTACTTAGTCCCTTGACACTATCGCAGCCGCAGTTTGCCCAACTTCGACCACACAATGTAAATATTACGTCAAATTTGAGTTGTAATTTTCTTTTCATTGTAATAGTTATTTCAGTAGTAAAATAGCTCTGATATTAATAAACGTTTAGTATGATTCCTCGTCTTTTAAACGTCTACTCCTGTCACTTAGGTTTTTTTTCGAATGCTATTATAGGGGGTATTAGTCATTCAAAAATCTTTCAAACTCACTGGTGTCCGCCCCTTACACCAACAATTGTAATTTTCTGCTTTCGTCAATTGTAATGTTCAATTTTCATCAATCAATGTTCAATTTACTTTCAATGCATTCAAATTCTCTATTGTAAGTTTTCTACAAAATTGTAATCAAATTTTCTGTCGTCCCGACGCGATCGAGAAAAGGTGGAAGGTATTCTAGCGGAGCAGACTACTGCCGCATGGTGTCCCTTTCTGTGCCAAGAAGAAAGGTACCCCGTGAAACTAGGGATTGTAAATTAGATTAGGGAGTTTTCAAATATTCGATGAATGACTCTCAAGCTCCATAGTCTTTTCAGATCGATCCATCTAATCTAGTATACGTTGTTTAGTCATCTTAGAAAATTAGTTCAAAACAAAGTTAATATCAATAAAATCATAGGTCTAGCGTGCTCCTCAATTTGACATGAGTCAAGCTAAGCTCGTGCAACAAGGGATTAGACCAGCATCACGGGAGATTTCTTCATGTGGAATCTTGTGATTGCTTTAAGATCGGTTGAACCAATCGACATTACATTTTTAGAATCTGTAGTGTGACCATCCAAAATAACGAACAAACAAAAATTGATAAGAGTGGGATGTATATTCTTCTGTAATGGTTTGAGGTAAGCAAAAAAAGAAAAATGCTATATGGTTGATATTTAAATAGAAAGTTTATAAGTTTAATATTGTCTTTCATTTTCATATCTTCTTAATTCTTTATTTATCCTCAAAGTATATAAAATCTAAATTTCAATGAATATATTGTTTAATTGTGCTTCGTGAATGTTGGTTGTTCATGCACTGCACATTTGCCTAAAGTCTCAAATGACCTCACATTTTGAATGCAAGATCCATTAGAATTGATCTACATTTTTTTTTTTTTTTTTTATCTTGAATCAACATTTCTAGAGAAAATAATAAAAACCAAATGGTCGGGCCAGCTTTTCGGAAGCGAGGTCCATGTATCGGGCTAGCCCTACTAGTGTGCATTAGGCCCTGTAATTATTGGGTTGTGTCAGCTTGTAGGCCCTCTATATATTCATTTTTCTTTCTTTTTTTGGTTTTTCCAAAAAAAATATTTGTAAAAACTTTAATAACAAAATTGTTAAATCTTCTCTTTATGAACTTAAGTCTGGCTACGATTGGATGTAATCCGTTTGATGTATATTTTGTGGGGGGAAAAAGGATTTTTTAAAAATGTGTGGTTAAATACCCTAATAAGTGTGGTTTTGATGCAAGCATTGATCGGAGGGTTCCTTTCTGTGAAGAATTAATGGAAGCCCGAGCATAGAGTTGATTTCATTGCAAGTATTGTTCTCCTATGCAAACTTGAAAAGCATGGTGTTCGATTAAAAATAGACATTTAATGTACGGAAGATTTAGCTATTCATTACGTGGTAGGAATCGGAGATGGATAAGAGGCTACTTGGAGTGCAATCAGAAATAGTGGAAATTACACCTAATTTTTAACTTCTAAATTCAAAAATAAAGTTTCAATTTTTTGGTCCAAAAATCAGGTGATAATTCATCTTTTAAATATTAATAATAATCTTATAAAATTAAATTAATCCATACGCCCACCCCAAACCCCCATTCATCCAACCCTGTTTCATTATCAAATCCTAAATCATCCCCCTCCCTTGCCTCCCTGTCTCTATTTTTTCTCTCTTTACTATTCTCTCGACCCCACTCTCTCTATTATGGCATCACCTCTAGCAACACCACTGCGTTGGGAGGTGGCAATGCTTGCAGTGTTGCTTGTTGGAGTTTGTTGGTGTCTTTTCTGATTCAATTTGCTGTGGGTGGTTTTCTTATAAGATTTTTTGTTTAACCGGAGTTTTAAGGTGGTTGTTGGTGTTTTACAAATGGTAATGGCGGTGGTGGTGAGGCGATGTGGAGTTTGATTGATACTGATGGTGGAGCGATGTTGGTTGGGTAGGATTTTCGTTGATTTTGACTTATAAATTGGTTAATTTATGATCAATGAATAATATGTGAACCAAAAATGTGAGATAACGACTAAATTTGTAATCATAATTCACAAATTGTAAAGTTGTAACCAATTATTTTAATAATTTGATATCGAGAATAATTTATGACTGATTAATTTGATAATCCGTGCTCTTAAAATAAGTTGTAACTTATAAAATTTGTGATTTGTGATAAAAAATTATATATATATGACATGATCTATTAATTTAATAATTTGTGTTGCCTATAAATTTTGTGATTTGTGATATAGAAATAATGTATGACCAATTAATTTGACAATTTGTGATTAATAAGAAAGTCGTGACTTATGAAATTTGTGATTTATTATTGTGACTGGTAAGTAATGGTGATCATAAATTGAATAGTACGTGACATTAATATATTTAATTATCAATCTTAATTAATAAGATTTAATTATGAACTTATTATTGAAATTTTAAAACATGTTAGTTAATTTTGAAATTATATCTTCTAATCACCTTAAACCCCTATTTGATTCCCATTTTTGGGATAAAATGAATTATGGAATAATGATTTTTTGGAGAATGTGTGGTTAAAAAGTAAGGAATTTTTTTTTTGAAATTCGTGTGTTATTATTTTATAGAAAAATATGTGATTGAAAATGAGTTTTGAAAAAATGCATTCTTGAAAAAATGTGTATTGTTCACTTGGAAATATACCATTTTTGGGTTCTGGGCCTCTATTTTAAGATCCATTACTTGGGCTAAAACTTGTTCTAAGATGCATATTTAGGTCCCGTTTGATACTTATTTTTTTCAAAATGAATTTTTCTCTCTCTTATTTTCAAACACACATTTTTCATTAAAATAATATTACATGTAAATCAAATTTTTTTTTTATTTTTCAACCGCATAGTTCTCATTAATTTACTATTCCAAAATATATTTTTACATAAAAATAACTCCAAAACACTCTCTTAGTAGAGCTTTAACTGCTTATAAACGGATCAAATATCATTTTAATCAGAAGATTCACAAATTTTATCTAAAAGTTTGTAATGACCATTCTTTGAGACCCACCATCTAAAAATAAGTACTTACAAACTGTTTATCTTACTTATAATTTATTAGTGAATTTTTGAGTTTTTTGACGAGGCATGCACTTATATTCTTGATGAGTGATGTGAGAAATAATTTTTACACACTTTTAGTCTAGCATCGATTTATAGTCCTTATTAATTTTTCATCAAAATTTTTCAAAATTTATTAAAAATATAATTTTTATCGTTACACCTAATTTATTCTTATTCACACATTTCGAGATCTGTCACTTATTTCTAACATTTTCTTGAACGTGCTTTAGGGGCTGTTTGGGCCCGATTTTTTCACCGTTATTTTACTATTCCAGCCGTCATATTTGACTTCTTCTTTTACAGGTGGACCCCACTTTTTTCATAACGGTCAAAAAATCAATTCTCAAAATCACTCCCAAACAGACTCTTAATAATACTTATAAAATAAGAAAAAAAAGAAAAATTATTTTTAAAATAGATATCTTACTTCCAACTCGAAAATAATTTTAAACTTTATAAATTGAGAATTGAAATTTCGAAGAAGGTAGGCATATTCCAGGATTCCGCGTGTTACTTTTCTGGTGTGGTGGGCGTCCAACCAATAAAGACTAATTTTAAGTGCCTAATCCGAATTGGAATTGAATCCGGAAATTCGAATTTTAGAACTCCAAACCCTTCTCAAATTCGACAACTTGTCTTTATCTGTCGCGTGGAAGAGCCTTAAAGTACTCTATAGACACATAATTTTTCCGCTCGAATCCCCTCTTCATTTGGAGGTATAATTGTTATTTTTGCTGATAGAATTAAGGGATTTGAGGAATAATTTAGAAAGATGTTTAATGGAACGATGGATCCGGAGTTAATGAGAATGGCTCAGGAGCAGATGAGTCGCATGTCACCCGCTGATCTGGCTAGGATTCAACAACAGGTACTTATTTTTATTCTGGGTTCGAAAAATTTTATTTTTATTATTTTCATTCGTAATTTTTTTGTAATGTATTGGTGATTTTGGAATTTGTGAAAAATCGTTTGCGATTTATGCTAGGTTCCGAATTTGTTGGTTTCAGATTTTGGAATTTATGAACGCTCTTAGTTGGTGATTTGATTGTTGATTATGCTTGATTCTCTTATTGATTATTTATTTTCTATTGGTATTTTCCTTGTGGGTTCTATTGTTAATTTTGGTATAGATTGGATCGCTGGATTTCAGTGCTCCATAAACAACTAATTGATTGATAGGATTTCTTGCAATTGGTGAGGCCGCCAATGGTGAAAGTGTTGGACTTTTTAGGATCTCTTGTCAGCTTGTTATGTGTTTAAGAATAATAGACGACTTGATGTATTTTTGTCTGGCATCGTGTCATTGTCATGTATGTCTGCCTCTGTCCATCCTTTTTTTTCATCAATAAAATTGCCAATGTTCATCAAAATAGTCAAGAATCGTTGTGTGAACTGGTATTTAACTATCCAGTGGACTCAAAAATGTCAGTAGCCTGGTTTTACGGCGGCTCCAAAATACTACAAAAGGTTAAATTCGTGCATTTGAAATAGCTACACTAGGCTAGTTGTACAAGTTAGTTGTATATAGGCAAGCAGTGGTTTAGTTTCTAGCTTAGATGTTCTATACTTGGTCAAATAAGAGGGATTTTAATTCAAATTTTCTGTTATTTTTTAGTTCACTTCTCACTGATGGCTGTCATTAATTGTTGCAATGCAGATGATGTCCAATCCGGATCTAATGAGAATGGCTACTGAAAGCATGAAAAGCTTGAGGCCAGAAGATTTGAAGCAAGCTGCAGAACAGTTTAAGCATACCCGTCCAGAGGAGATGGCGGAGATTAGTGAGAAGATGGCCAAAGCATCACCTGATGATATAGCTTCCATGCGTGTGCGGATGGATGCTCAGGTTTCTTATGAGATAAATGCAGCCGAGATGCTGAAGAATCAGGTAACTTATCAGTGATACACACACACTCTTCTAGATTTCATATGTACCAAAGCTTCATCTCTACCCTTTTCATTTTAACTTTGTGTACTATAATTTTTCTGTTCAAGCTAACAATTAAAGAGAAAATTCCACCTTGATCTAACCACTTATGTTATTGCAGGGGAATGAACTTCACAGTCAGGGCAGGTACAAAGAGGCCCTGCACAAATATTTGCATGTAAGTGTTGCATTTTTGTTTTGTTCTATTTTGTTGTACTTGTAGGTTTTTTTTGGCTGTGAAGTTTTATCTTGTGCAAATCTCTTTTGTTTCTTGATCAATATTAGGCTAAGAAAAACCTGAAAGATATTCCTATCTCAAAAGGCAGGAGTCTCCTGTTGGCGTGCTCTCTTAATATGATGTCATGTTACTTGAAAACCAGGCAGTATGACGAGTGTATCAGGGAAGGCACAGAGGTATGCATATCATATTTCTTTTAGTTTGTTATCTTACATCTAAAATTGGTCAAATCATTGCATGTCAATTCAATTTTTTTGAATTTGGTCGTAGCAACTCTTCTCCTTGCTGCTATCGGCTTTGTAGGGTGCTTTGAACGTGCAATAATTCATAGTAAAAATTTTACGAAAGTGATGAGGCACAAGTTTCTTTATAAAAATTGGTAATGCTGCAGGAGACAAGATTTTCTAGGACTAGGTTGAAGAAGTACTAAATTTAAAATATATGTTTATTCNNNATGCTCTGATATATAGCGATTGTTTGAGCCTCATTTTTGGCTAAGAATGCATTTTGGAATGGTAAATTGATGGAGAATGTATGATAAAAAAATAAAGAAAAGTTTTGGGTTTGCATGTAATATTATTTTGTTGAAAAATGTGAGGTCGTAAAGAAGAAAGAGAAAAATGTATTTTGGAAATAATGAGGATCAAACAAGGGCATATTGTGAATTTCTTGTCTGCATTTGATGCATAACCATGGCTATCAATATTCAATACTGAATAAAACTGAAACTGATTAACTTTGGATATTCAGGTTTTAGGATATGAAGCAAAAAATGTCAAAGCCCTTTACCGAAGGGGTCAAGCATATAAAGAATTGAGGCAATTTGAAGTAAGTATCTGCTTATTTATTTCATGTTTTACCATGGTTGCCAATTTTGTTTCTTTTGCTTTCAAATGCTATCTGTCCATCTTTTATATTTTCTTTGCTCATCATACTGACTTCGTATATATGCCAGGATGCAGTGTCTGACTTGAGTAAAGCTCACGAAGTTTCTCCTGAGGACGAAACTATTGCAGATGTCTTAAGGTACTGAAGTTTCACTTGGTATTTTTCATGCTATATATATGCTATTTGTGTGACTGGAAACTGGTCTTCTCTTCCTTCTATTTTTCTTCCCATTGTTTTAATTGTGGAATGTGTTTGGTCTTTGTTTTTTCCCGTCAAATTTTCTAGACTTGCTATCAAACATAAGGCACAAGTTATTTATTCTGTGACAGGGAGGTGAAGGAAAGATTGAGCAAACAAGGCAGTGAGCGTCCTTCAAGAAGTGCGCTGTTTTACATTCTTTCTATTAATTCTATTTTTTATGTTCATTAGAAATGCTGGAATTTCATATACTTTATATATATTTTTGTATATGCAGCTGCACCCTGCCAATTTCTTTCAATCTAATTTGAGTTATTTCTGTTCTTTTCATGTATAGGATTGGTTATTGAAGAAATAAGTGAAGACGAAACTGTTTCTTGCAACAACCATGAAAGTTCACCGTCAGAAATTTATGAACCACCACAAGAAACCAGTCAATGCTCTACGAGTCCAACTGAGAACCTTAGGGGTCCTTTATCTACGAATCCCGAGCATTTGGAGGCACTAAAAGATGATCCTGAATCCGTCAGGTTGGTTCTTATGTTCTCACTCCTGACTTTTCCATAGACATAACATATATGTTCTCTCCATTTCTGAAAAGCGTTGGAGAATAAAATCCAAATTATAAGGGTTGTATATCTTTCAATGTTATGGATTTGTTAGGATGTATTTTATTACCTGTAATGGCCAGCTTGGAAACTTAGTAGATGTCCACGTAATTGTGCAGAAAGCCTTTTAGGCATGTTAATCTGCATCTCTAGCAAATAAATATTCACATTGATCTGTTCTAAGATAATTCATCAATGTTGATACTTAATTCATGGTATGTGTTGTTTTCTATTATTCAATTTTCTTCTTTCATAGAAGGGTGCTAATTTAGGTGACTTTGTTCGTAGCATATGTAATACGAAAGCTGTTGTACGTCATACATGATTTGTGTGATCATACTGTTAACAATTTAAATCTCGTGCTTTGTTTGAACTTGTGATCTCTGCCTTGTGTGTACTTACTTGGCCTCTTTGTTATTCTTATTCCTCGTCCGATTTCTTAACCAATTATATGCCATATTCTACTTAGTCCTACATGAGCATACGGTTACACACTGCAGTTAAGCCTCAAGACTAAGTGTATTTTTCTTCACTTTCCATGCAGATCCTTCCAAAACTTTATTTCTCAAACTGATCCTGAAACCTTATCTGCCATTAATGGCGGAAGAGTTGACGGCATGTCTCCTGATATGGTAAAGACTGCTTCGAATATTATTGGCAAGATGTCCCCTGAAGAACTTCAAAAAATGTTTCAGATGGCTTCCTCCTTCCAAGTGAAAAACCCAATATCCAGCCCCGGATCGGTACCACTGGACATGACACCTGACATGCTTAAGACCGCAAGTGAAATGATGGGTAAGATGCCACCAGAAGAACTTCAAAAAATGTTTGAAATGGCCTCCTTTTTGAAGGGTAAAGAGGCGGGATCATCAACAGCATCTTTACGTTCTAGTTCTGGCTCAGTTCCACCGGATGTGACGCCTGACATGCTGAAGATGGCAACTGGTATGATGGGTAAGATGTCAGCAGAGGAACGTCAAAAAATGTTTGAAATTGCATCATCTTTGAGAGGGACAGATACGGCATCAACATTAGATTTTCATCCTAATGGATTCACGTCAGATGATGATTCTAAAGCTAAAGAAGATTTCAGAGCAAATGGTGATCATGTTGGTGAAAGTAGTTTTTCTCAGAGTTTGCATTCAAGAAGTGTGCCTCCATCAAGCTTGTCAAGTTCAAGTACTAACCTGCAGGAACAAATGAGAAACCAAATGAAAGATCCAGCTATGCGACAGGTTTTTTGCTTAGAACTCTCGTTACATATTATTTTCTGTATTTTGTTATTGATTTTGTTCTTTATCAAGTTTTACTAGATTGCTTGCTTCGTTGGTTCTTTTATCTGTCAGTGTTTAAAGAAGTTACAAAGTAAAGAATTATCAGTTATATTCTATTTGGTATATGATTTCTAAGGAGATCAGGCGGTATTTGAGAAGCATGAATACCACTTTATTGGGCTCTAATATGGTGTATATACATGTCATCTTCGTCTGTTAATTCCTCTATCCATTTTCATATAGTTTTCAGTCAATCCAATTTTGGAGAAACCTACAGTAAACTTGAATACAGGATTTGTTTTCATATAACCTTGGGAAATGATATTGACATCTATGAAGAATGAAAGACGCGACAATCTTATATCTTCTCATTCTTAATTGACTAAAGCCAACGGAGGTTCGATTTTCTTACCATAGGACAACTAGTGCGGTCCAATTATGTAATGTTGATGTTGCTGTTTATTGTCTTGTTAAAAATTATGGTGTGTAAAATGAAACGATTATGATATATTTGAGATAGATCATAAGTCGAAATGAAATTTGGACTTCAGCTTTCGAGATAAATTCTTTTCTTACATTAGCACTTGTATGACATTCTGTTTCTGAATTGGCAGATGTTCACGTCCATGGTTAAAAATATGAGCCCAGAAATGATGGCAAACATGAGCGAACAATTTGGTTTCAAGCTTTCGCAGGAGGATGCAGAAAAAGCTCAACAAGCCATGTCATCTCTGTCACCCGATGCCTTGGATACAATGGTACAAACTTTGATTAAATAAAAAATAGAACTTATTTATTTTCCTCTCATCATTAAAGGAATTATTCATATTAAAGCTTATTTACTTATAAGTAAACTTTTTTAAGCATTGCCCAACATGATCGCAGTATGTTTATATGCTCTCCCCCCATTTCTTGGTGGTCCTCCATCTACTGCTCCGTATTAGATTTATTATTGAAAAAAAATCTTCGTTCAATAATGTGAAATTAATATTAGATAATGCAATGAAGAAAACTCTCTCGTTTGCTCTCATTCTGGCTAAAATTGTTGCAGATGAAATGGGCGGATAGAATTCAACGTGGTGTAGAAGGAGCTCGGAAGACAAAAAATTGGCTTCTGGGAAGATCCGGGATGATTTTGGCAGTAGTTATGCTCCTTTTCGCATTCATCCTTCACTGGTTTGGCTTCATCGGTAAGTAGATGGGGCCCTTTCTGTTTGACACAGTGACATTATTAAGCTGATCCCAGGCACAAGGATTCTTGTCTAAATACGTTTGCTCAAAAGAAAAGTTAAGAGAAAGAGGTTGCAGGTTAAAAGGTCATTGAACTAGATGGGGAATTTAGAGGTATAACCAGCAACTGTTCTTCTTTATTAGCATTTGCTTTAGTCAAGCGTTTTTGTTTTAACCGATATAATTGTATGTTCATTGTGATTGTTTATTTTATCGCGAAAGTAATCTTGCAAGAGAGAAGAACTTGCTCTACTCACAAGTCATATCATTAGGTAATAATGCATTTTTAAGATGTTGTATCATAGATTTTGACTCTGATGAATCCTCAACGGATATTCGTATTTTTGAATTGTGACTAAAGATTTGTTTAATCAAGACGTTGCTTTATAATTTAATCATTTCTAGGGTAACATACTCCACACACATTTGGTAAGTTTCACAACTATTATGTACTTATTGTTTGCTCGTTTGTGAGATCCATAGTTCAATAGTTAATCACTTAAATTTTAATTCAGTCACTTTCTAAACATTCACTTAAGTTAGTTGTTATCCATAGTATTTTACCAGCTGAGAAAGAATAGTATTTTGCTAATTTTACGCTGTGAAAATTAGCGGGTATATATCACACGATGAATAAAAATATGTAAAACTGAATATGCGAAAGGGAAGAAAGGTTGAAAAGCTCGATTTTAAAGCTGGAGTTGAATTTTGTGGAGGCACTAAAGGTTAAGAAATAATTATGCACAAAAAAAAAAATAATAATAATAAAAATAAATGAATAATGATTTGAATGTTGAGATTCAAACCTGGTCTCGAGGGCAAAAATACACAGCAACTTCAACTGCGGAAGCACAGTGGCATTGATAACATTAAGCCCTGTTTGGTTTTGATTTTTCATTCCAAAAAATTAATTTTTTGATCTTTAATTCCTTGAGTCAGCCTTTATTCTTGAATTCTTCATTTACAAGTAAGACTCATTTTTCTTTTTAACGGTCAAAAATTGATTCTCATAAGCACTATTAAATAGGTCCTAAAGTGAAGTTTTAATATCTATAATCGTTTTTGTTTTAATTTTTTATCAATTTTTTTTTTTATTAAAATAGCCCATAATTCCTAGGCCTTCTCCTTCCGTCAGCGCCTATGTGATATACCGTTCCTGTTTGTTTCTCGTTCTTTAAAAAATTATATTTTTCCAAATTTATTTTTAACTTCACATTCATCAAATGAAATAATTTTTACATATAAATTTACATCTTTTTCCTAATTTTCATCGCACAGTCTTTAAAATCACTATGTAATATTTGTACTGGACAGTGGCTGAGACACATGATGGGCAGATCAACCGGCGTCAAGTTTAAAACCTTTTAAACTGATTCTGGATTTACGTAGAAATATAATAATATAAAATATTCCTCCTACATTTTTATCTTCCTAACCGTAAAATCTTGACTCCACAATCCACATTGTAAATAAAATGTGTTTCTTACTTAGTTATCCATCTATCATAACCAAAAGAGGAAATTTATTTAACAATAGAAGAAGAGTTGGATCAGTAGTTATTCACTTCCACTTATTACAAATCCAATCGACAGTCGGATATTGTTAAAATAACTTTGCTTTACTTGATTCGAAAATAGTTAAAATACTTAATTTGCATTCTTCTATTCTTTTCTGACGTGAATTGGAAAAGGGAAATACCAATCGACAATGGTTAACCAACTGAAACTAGGAAAATTAATACTTAATTTTCACTTATTAATAACATTGTAGACATAATAGTTGGATAATACCAACTCAAGTTGGGTCATCTACAGAGGTGTGGCAAATGGGACGAACTGCTTGTGAACTTGTGGGCTCTGTTCGACCTCATTTTGCGAGGAATCATGGATTGAAATGAACTTTTTTTTTTTTTTCACAAGTAGAGCAAGCTCGGATCATGAGATTTATAAGCCGGCTTGTTTGGGCTTGTGGATCGACTCATTTTTTGCTTATTTTATTAATTTCTTTTAATTTTTACTTATTATTAAACTTAGTGTTAAAAAAAAGAATTAGTTCGTGGATGGCTCGATTTGACTCGTGAAGCCCATTATCACACCTAGAGAGTAAACACACGCAATTTATGTAGTGGAAATTACACCAATCCATGGTTTTTAAATTCTCAATTTAAAAACTAGATTTGATTTTTTTTTCTCAAAAATTAGATAGTTTAAATTTCTTGATATTATAAAATTAATTTAATTTATCTCAACATCCACACCTACAGCCACAGCCACACCCAACCCCAACCCCCACAGAACCCTAATTCATTTTTTACTGTTTCATTTTTCGCCCCACACCCCACTAGCCAGCACCGACGATCATCGCAAGCGGCGATGGGCGCATCACCGATGATAGGTGTGCGTGGCGATGTGGTGCGATCTATTTCTCTGTTATCATGACAAGCGCATATGTGGTGCTTGGCAACAGGCGTAGCAATGCAATCTTCGCAGGTGACGTTGCTCGCCATTTGCAGTGTAGTCGTGTGCAAGCAGTGTTGCTGATGGTGTTGGTGGTGCACAGGTGGTGCTGGAAAAGTCAAGTCTATTTTAATTGCTATTGCCTTATTATCCTAGTCTTTAGATAAGTAAATAAATTGTATTTATTTTATTTAGGTATGTGGCTTGTTTTTGGCCCAGTCAAATTGAAGTTTGTTTCACATTTACCGAGTCATTAGCATTTTATCAGGAGTAAGTGGTTAGTGGCTGCAGATATCGTTGGTTTTCAGCTCTATAAATAGAGCATGTTACTGTGAATCACTTCATTGATTTCTGAGAGCAATAAAGTTCACTTTCCTGTTCCTACTTTCTTATTTCTAAATTATCAGTGGTATTAGAGCTTGGTTGTGAAAAAAGTGAGAGAGCTGCAATAACAATCTTTCATTTTTTCAGTTGTTCTTCTTTTCTTTCTGCAGTAGCAGTGAATGATGGCTTCAGATAGCTTTTACAACCAGCTATTCCATGTTTTGGTGGGCATTATGATCATTGGAGCATGTTAATGGAGAATATTCTGCGATCTAAGGAGTATTGGCAAGTAGTTTTTGAAGGAATACCAGAAATGGTGGGTGCAGCAACAACAAAAGCACATAAAATAGAAGTGGAAACCCAACGTCTAAAGGATCTCAAGGTTAAGAATTTTTTGTTTCAAGCCATCGAAGGCTCAATCTTGGAAACTATTCTTTGCAAAGATACCTCCAAGCAAATTTGGGATTCTATTAAAAAGAAACACCAGGGATCGACAAGAGCTAAAAGGCAGCAGCTACAAGCTCTTCGATTATAATTTGAAACAACTTGAATGAAGTCAGGAGAATCTATGATGGAGTACTTCTCACGGGTAATGACGATTGCCTATAAGATGCGGATTCATGGTGACAAGACTAAAGATGTTACCATTGTCGAAAAATTACTTCGCTCCATGACTCCAAAATTTAATTTTGTTGTCTACTCAATAGAGGAGTCCAAAGATATTGATCAGCGTTCACTAGATGAACTCCAAAGCTCTTTGCTTATCCATGAACAGAAGATCAATAAGCAGGATAAAGATGAACAAACATTGAAGGCGTCAACAGGTGGTTATGGTTGGCCTTTAAACAAAGCAAATAGAGGAAGAGGTAAAGGATATAAGGATCGCAAAAATCAGCACCAGCAATATAGTAACCAATTTGGTGATTCTCAAGGAAAAGGCAAAGGCTTATTTCATGTTGGCAACCATAGAACAAAGTCAGTAGACAAAGCCAATATAGAGTGTTACAAATGCCACAAGTATGGACATTATCAATCAGAATGTTGAACTAACATGTCTAAAGGCAATGGAGAAAAATCCAATTTTGCAGAAAAGGATGAGGAAACATCTCTGCTAATGGCATGTTATACGAGAGAAGAGACCAACAAGAATTTATGGTACCTGGACACTGATTGCAGCAATCATATGTGTAGGGCTAGGAAAATCTTCTCCACCTTAGATGAATCTTTCAAAGATGATGTAAAGTTCGGAGATAATTCAAGAGTTTTTGTTATGGGAAAAGGACAAGTAATCATCCAAACGAAGGGAAATTCCATTCAAACTATTTCCAATGTCTTATTTATTCCAGAATTGAAGACAAATCTCCTAAGTATCGGGAAACTACAAGAGAAGGGCTACGAGATCTCCATTAAAGATGGAGTTTGCAAAATTCAAGATGCCAAATTGGGGTTGATTGCTCAGGTTAGCATGACAACAAATCACATGTTTCACTATATCTACACAATGTTACTCGGTCATGTTTTTCAGCAAAACTGAAAGATGAAGCTTGGCTATGGCATTTTCGATATGGTCATCAAGCTTTGGAGGTTTAAAAACACTTCAGCAGAAAGATATAGTAGCTAATCTTCCACAGTTTGGATGTCCCTCAGAAGTGTGTGAAGAATGTGTTGTTAATAAACAACACCGAGATCCATTTCCATAAGGAAGGACAAGAAGAGCGAGAAGGCTATTGGAGATTGTGCGCTCCAACATTTACGGGCCAATCAATCTTGCGTCCAATGAAGGTAAACGATATTTGATCACTTTTATCGATGATTTAAGTAGAAAAACTTAGGTGTACTTCCTACAGGAGAAATCTAAAGCTCTTATAGCATTTAAGAGCTATAAGATTATGGTTGAAAAGGAAGCAGAAAACTTAATACAGGTGTTGCACATAGATTGTAGAGGTGAATACAATTCACAAGAGTTGGCTGAATTTTGTGAAAATCATGGCATTAGATGACAACTAACAACAACTTATACCCCACAACAAAATGGGGTGTGCGAGAGAAAAAATTGCACAATCATGAATATGGTGAGAAGTTTGTTGGTAGGAAGTCGAGTTCCAAAGAGTTTCTGGCCTGAAGCAATAAATTGGAGCATCCACATTTTAAACAGAAGCATTGCTCTAGTAGTTCAGAATAAAACACCAGAAGAGGCATGGAGTGGAAGAAGACCAACTGTTGGGCCCTTCAGAATCTTCAGATGTATTGCTTATGCCCACATACCAGATGAGAAGAAGAAAAAGCTAGATAACATGGCGAAAAAGTGCATTTTTCTCGGAGTAAGCAATCAGTCCAAAGCATACAAGTTGTATAATCCAACCACGGAAAAGATTGTAATTAGTCGAGATGTTACATTAGATGAAGAAAGATTTTGGGAGTGGAATAGAGATGGAGTTCAACAACAAATTCCTGCGAATTTTTATGTGGAAGAAGAAACCCAACCTATGGCAAACTCACAACAACCAGTGGATGAACAAGATGAACCAGTACCAGTAACTCAAAGTCCACCTACGGTATCTACAGATTCTAGATCAAAAAGGTTTAGAAAGCGAC